TGGGCAGAGCCTCGGAACCCCTCTAAGCAGCCATGGGCACAGGAGACAAACACCGTGACCAGGAAGGAAATGCGAGTGGGGATGGTGATCCAAGGGACCTGCGGGGCAGGGGGTGCTCTGGGTCTGTACCTCAGGGGTAATCCCGTTTCTCTCCAGGCGTCCCCGTTGGGGCTCACACTGCCCCCCACCTGGTCCCAGCAGGGCGCTCTGGAACCCTCATGCAGTTTGCCACAGTGCCAGCCAGGCGGCTCTTGCTGTTTTACATTCCAGATCATTGCCAAAGCCTCCATTTGAAGAAAGGTCTGGAGCTGCAGGGGTCTGGATGCCCCCTGCTCTGGGCATATGCAGGCTAGGCAGTGGGCTGGCAAAAGCACTTTCTCCCCACAAGAAAGAAAAACAGGATGCAAAGCCCCACCCCTACCCCACCCCGCACACCTGGGAACCCCCCTGGGGAGGGGCTGCACTCCTGGCCTCCTCCCCCAGGACTCTGAAATCAGCAGCTCTGAGGGTGATGCAGGTGCTAGAAATTCCTGAAGCTCCCAGGTGATTCCACTGCTGGTCTGAAACAAGGAGGGTTGACTAGGAGACAGCAATGGCCAGTGGCCTCTAACCAAGGTGCACATGATGGGGTTTGGAGGCCAAGGGCTCTGGTCCCGCCCAAGGCTCAGACACCCTCGCTCAGGCAGGGTGCAGGGCTCTTCCTGGCTCTCTCACTGCCCTTTCCCCGGCCTGGGCCGACCATCCCTTCCTCAGACCTCACAAATACGGTTTCCAAATAAAATAGAGGACCCTCTGCGAGATCAGAATTTCAGATAAACAGTGTTTTAGTATAAGAATGTCCAAATATTGCACGGGACACACTTAAAAAATTATTTGTTGCTTACCTGAAGTTCAAATTTCACCAGGCGTCCTGGTTTTTTTTAGAGAGAAAGGGAGAGAGAGAGAGAGAGAGAGAGAATGGATGTGAGAGAAAACATTGATCGGTTGCCTCCTGCACAGACCCCAACCACACCCCGACCGGGGATCGAATGCTGAAACCTCTGTATGTGCCCTGACTGGGAATCGAACCTGTGACCTTTCGGTGCATGGAATGATTCTCAACCAGCTGAGCCACACTGGCTCGGCTGGTGTCATTTTCTTCCAGTTCACCAGGAGAGGCCCCATGACCACCCTCCCCTCACCTCTGCTGCCCCCACAGTTTGGCCATGTTTAATATACTGTCTCCCCTTGCTCTCTGGGGTTCCATGTGTCTAGAGATGTTTTCTAGAAAGAACACGTATCTGGTGGTCAAGCAAAAGAGAGGCGGGTTGAAGAGCCTGCCGCCTGCCTGTGTCTGGGGCTCCATGAGGTTGTGATAGGCCACCAGGGGGCGCAGGGGGGCCATCAGGTCTAAGAAGGGGTGAGGCCTTTGCTGGGATCTTGAGGTTGGAGGTGGCCAGCCTAGGTCCTGGACATATCCCCCCACCAGGCCTGAAGGCCAAGGCTGAGGGAGTCTTCTGGTCAATTCTGAGGGGTCCGTTGTGGGACAGGAGCTGCCTGGTGGCGTTGGAGGGGGTTCTGCTGGTCTCAGACAGCAGAGGGACCCTGGGAGAAGGGGATGAGTGTGCGTGTGGGGAGGCATCTGGGCTGCTCCAGGGTCCCCACGGCATCAGGACCATGTGGGCCCAGCAGCAGCAGGCAGGGCTGGCACCGCAGTCCCTCCCGGATCACGGGTGAGAGCAGGCTCCCCTTCTGGGATGGCTGGGCGGGAATCGGCATTGCTGGGCAGGCCCTGTTGGGGCAGGGGGAGTGTGTGGGGGAAGGACAGGAGTGGGTGCTAGCAAGGGAAGAGCTGAGGTTGCGGGAGGGGTGTGAGCTGAAGGGGAAGGGGAGGCCACAGCAGCCCCTGGGACTGAGAGAGGGGTCTGGGCGGGGCAGGGGATGGAGGAGCAGGAGGCAGTTTGCTGGGCTCGGAGTTCCAGAGGAGAAGCTCACACCAGGTGACAAGTCCTGGGGCAGCGCTGGGAGGGGGGGGGAGCCAAGGTCACTGGTAGTCAGGAAACTTTGGGGTGGACATGTTAGGTTAGAGCGAGCTCCCGAATATTTAGGTAAAGTTCCAGTAGGACGTCAGATACAGGAGCGCGCAGGTAGGCAGCCTGGGGCGCCTCCGCCACCCCAGCTAGGCGGCAGCAGGTGCGTTGCATTTCCCGCACCCCAAAGCCACCCTCGGGCAGCCCCCTCCTGATTCTAACACACGCCTTAGAACGGGAGCCGCGGGGTCGCACGGGACCGCTAGTGTCCTGGCGCCTTCACCCCATGGCGTGGGGGGCCGTCTGTCCATAGCGCTGGGCGGTGTGTCCGTTTGCTCGCCCTCATTGCTGGCCCACCTTCCATATCTGGCGTGCGCTCCGCGGTCCTGCCGACGGTGACGGTCATTCGGGTCGTTTGCCGTTAGAGCGGGTCTGCTCCTCTGGTGTTCGCCAGGCCGCGGAGGGGACCCGGGGCAGGGTGTGTTTCCAGCTTTGGCAGGTGCTGCCCAAGTCTCCCAGGGCGGCGGCACCACCTCGGGGGTCATTCAAGTACCTCAGGTGTGGGAGGCAAGGCGGGATATCGGGATGGCAGGAGGGTGCGAATCGGGACATTTTGCTTGTCTGAGTTTTTTGTTGTTTTAAAAACTCTCACCCCGGGACACACCTATAGAGAGGAAGGGAGGGAGAGAGAGACAGAGAGAGAGAAAGAGAGAGAGAGAAACATCGATGGGAGAGAGAAGCATCAGTCGGTTGCCTTCCACACACTCCCAGACGGGGGGGGGGTCAAACCCTCAACCCAGGCATGTGCCCTGATGGGGGATTGAACCTGCGACCTTTTGGCGCAGGATGAAACTCAACCAACTGAGCCACTCCGGCCGGCCAGGCGGAGTTGTTTTCTGTGACAGCTGGATGAGTGATGATGGAGGACGTGAGGGAGAGCGGGGGCACGAGGATGGGCGCAGGCCTCTGGGCTTGGGACTCTCCCCAGAGTGTTCCCGAAAGAGCCGTGCTTGGGGAACCAGGTTCGGTTACATACGTGATGGAGGGGGTGATTTACAAGGGTAGGACATGGGAGCTTGGTCCAGTGACCAAGCCCTCTCAGTGGCTTGCCACTGTCTACACAGCAAGCCCCACCTGCCTCTCCAGGCCCATCAGCTCTCCCTGCACGACCGGGACCCAGATTTAGGATTTCCTCCCTTCCCTTCACTTTGGTGGACTCGGATTTGGGGACCCTGTCTGGTGACCAGCCGGAGAACCATGAAGGTGTGAATCGGCCGTTGGGAAAGCACTTGGCCCAGAGGCTCCGGCGGGAACTGCGGGTAACGGGGAGGCAGACCCGGGCTTGCCACTCCCGTTTCACTGAGGTTATTTAACCCGAGCTCCAGTTTCCTTCTCTATAAAATGGGGTTAATACTCACCGCGCTGGCTGTCATGTGACTCGGAGGATTAGAAATCTCAGAACGTCATGAGAGGCCAGGCCACTCCCACTCCCACTGCACCCAGGGGCCCCAAATCTTCCTGGTTCTTGGGCCTGTGGGCCGCACCTGGGGTGACTGGCTCTGCCCTGGGAGCGTGGGGCTTCGGCCTGGTAAGTGAGACCCCCACCCCTGGCCCCAGCCTTCAGGAACAGCAGTGTCCTGCTTGGGGCTTTGAGATGCGGTAAGAAAAGGTGAAGGGGATGGGCAAATTTGGAAGCCGTGGGGCTTGTTTTGCTTTGTTTTGGTTGGTTAATCCTTGAGGATATTTTTTCCATTGTTTTTCAGAGAGAGTGGAAGGGAGGGAGAGACAGAGAGAGAGAAACATTGATGTGAGAGAGACACATCGATTGGTTGCCTCCCGCACATGCCGTCTGGGCCCAGGGATGAACTTGCAACCCAGGTGCGTGCCCTTGACCAGGAATCGAAACTGCGACCCTACAATGGGAGGGCTGATGCTCTAATCCCTGAGCCACACCGGCCAGGGCAGCCATGGGGCTTTTTGGCATTTTAGCTTTTTAAGGGGGTGGGGGGTTGGCCTCCTCTAAGAACCGTACATCTGCAGGGTGTCATGGGAGAAACAAAAAGTGTGAAGGGCCTCTGAGCAAGTGAGCGAGGATGGAGCAGGGGGTATCTGGTAATCCGTCCACGCTGGCTCCTCCCCACGCCCCCAGACTCCCTCGGCCTCCCCAGCCCCGCCCTGTGTGCATGGCCCAGTCTGAGGCCACCTGCGTGAATGTAGGGCTCCCTGGGGACCCGCTTTGATTAAGGGCTTTCTCTCTAGGGTCGAGGGCTGAGGCTACATCATCTTGCACCCAGAGGACCGGAAAGTCTCC